AGATATTCCCACACACAAAATATAAAAAAAAAAAAGAAAAAAAAAAAAAAGAGAGAAAAGTATTTGGCTACTAGAGACTAGCATCACACTAGCAAAAGCTCTTTTTTAAAAAGATTTTGGTTGGTAAAGAAAATTATAGTACACAAAATCTGAAGGAAAAAAAAAAATTACTTGCCATGAATCATATTGTCAAGTTCTCAAAGTCTGGACACACATTTACCATGTCAACATTATACACATTATATATAAAACTCATCACTAATATTGTCTTATACAAAATACAAAAAAAGATCCCGGGGCCAAAGCCTTTTTTTACGAAGACAAAGACGCGCTTAACATCATGGCATTATGCACAAGAGTAAGATTTAGGATTTAACAAACCTTTCATTCTACATAATATATGTAGAAATAACATGGGGAAAAATCAAGAGAGGAACACAGACTTTTTCTTTTTTCTTTTTCTGCTTTTTTTTTTTTTTTTAATCTAATATAAAAATATGGCATAAAAACTGCATCATTATATTAACCTCACCATCTGCTCACAAAAAATTATTTTCTTTAGTTTCTTTCAAGTCCTTTGAGTCTAACCCCCAATGCATTTCAAATATTTTATAACTAGATATATGTGCATGTATATGTGTATGTATATATATATATGTATGTATATATATATATGCATTTGTGTATTTGCAGATATATGTAATGTATCTGTATATGAATATGCATTTCTGTATGTGTATGTGTATGTATATGTATATGCATATATATTTGTGTGTATGTACGTCTGTATGTGTATGTATTTGCATATATGTGTGCATGTATATAATACATACACATATATACTTGTACATACATTTATACATACACACACACACACACAATATATATTATATACATATACATATATATATATATATATATATATATATATATATATATATATATATATATATATATATATATATATATATATATATATATGTGTGTGTGTGTGACTGTATGTATGTATGTATGTATGTATGTATGTATGTATGTATGTATGTATGTATGTATGTATGTATGTATGTATGTATGTGTGTATGTATGTATGTATATATGTATGTATGTGTGTGTGTGTGTGTGTGTGTGTGTGTGTGTGTGTGTGTGTGTGTGTGTGTGTGTGTGTGTGTGTGTGTGTGTGTGTGTGTGTGTGTGTGTATAAATGTATATATATGTCAACACTTCAATTCATAACAGTCTTTCAGGTTACCTACTTTCTTTTAGATAACTTCAGGTACTGTAATACTATTATCATGACACTATTACCTATTAAGCTAGATAATTACACTAAAAGAAAGGGTCATTATAAGTATCATCACAACTTAAAAAATATTTCAAACTAAACTCTGTTAACCTGCTCATATCATTCTGAAAGGAGAAAAATAATATTACAAGCAGTTGCTGTAAAAACTATAAAGTTGTGCCTCCTGAAACTGTTATCATCATCTGGATAGCAATTCTTTGTGAATAAAACCTTCAGATAAAAATTTTGGCTAAAATACATTAAGATTTAGATCATTTCAACAACAACAAAAAAAAAAGCATCTCTAATCAGTTACAATGCCTTTGGCTGCTAACCATTACACACTCCTGTATATGCAACAGCACATATAGAAGTTGGCCTTTTAAAAGTATTAAAACAAACACAAAATGATAAACGACAACTAAAAAAAAAGCTTGTCAAACGTAGATGCAAAGGATGGGTTAAAAAATAACAATCTAAAAATAATAACATAACATCATCCTCACTCACTCACTCACTCACTCACTCACTCACTCACTCACTCACTCACTCACTCACTCACTCACTCACTCACTCACTCACTCACTCACTCACTCACTCACTCACTCACTCACTCACTCACTCACTCACTCACTCACTCACTCACTCACTCACTCACTCACTCACTCACTCACTCACTCACTCACTCACTCACTCACTCACTCACTCACTCACTCACTCACTCACTCACTCACTCACTCACTCACTCACTCACTCACTCACTCACTCACTCACTCACTCACTCACTCACTCACTCACTCACTCACTCACTCACTCACTCACTCACTCACTCACTCACTCACTCACTCACTCACTCACTCACTCACTCACTCACTCACTCACTCACTCACTCACTCACTCACTCACTCACTCACTCACTCACTCACTCACTCACTCACTCACTCACTCACTCACTCACTCACTCACTCACTCACTCACTCACTCACTCACTCACTCACTCACTCACTCACTCACTCACTCACTCACTCACTCACTCACTCACTCACTCACTCACTCACTCACTCACTCACTCACTCACTCACTCACTCACTCACTCACTCACTCACTCACTCACTCACTCACTCACTCACTCACTCACTCACTCACTCACTCACTCACTCACTCACTCACTCACTCACTCACTCACTCACTCACTCACTCACTCACTCACTCACTCAC